ATAGAGAAGACATATAAATTGCCATTTTACAATTGATTATATTTTTCTTTGAGGCTGATAAGGGAACATAAATCAGTCCTAGCTACTGGTGTGAATTAAAAATTGCAACTTCACAATAGGAAATTCACACAGGACTATTTCCCCTCCAATCATGTTTTATTTGCATAAAATAGAAGGTTGATTAACTCCGGCTATTTAATGTGACCACGAGCTAAATCAACAAAGATTTTATTAGGCTGATAAGATTTTGTTTTTGCTGATAACCCTGTATGATACCCATATAACGGGTGTCTGAATGTCCTCTAGATGACAGGTAATATGTTTCAGGTCAATGCTCAAAGGTTACCAGACTGGACGATGGAGACACCGGTCTGTATTCGTCCACATATAAACAATACCATCTGAACTCGGCAAAGATGCTGGCCTCAAAAAATACATCATCATTTTTTGAGACTTTCTACTAGATGTTTTGTTTACTTTACAGCTGTATTGAATAGTGGGTCTTGTGAAATATAAACATATACTTTCATGTGTCTAACAAAAGTGATGATGGACAAAACTGACATTCATATTCCATTTGACATTATCTTTTTATTATTGCTTTAAACAGAGGTCACTGTAAAATTTCAAATTTAAACATTGAATTTGGTACCCAACCTTGAAAAAAACTTTAAAAAATAGAAAATAGATCTAATATTTCTCCAAAATATTATTAAATTTGAAAAAAAACTAATATCATTTGCATTTTCTTAAAGAAAACAGCATCAGCATCAAACATTGAATAAAATGAATTTGAAATATATTTTAGAAATACTAGTCCTTTTGCAAACTCTTTAACTGGAACAAGTAGCAATGAAAAAAAACGAGTAAATTTTATTGATGTTTATTGACATAGACATCTAACAAGAAGTTTAATACTAAGAGAATTATTAACAATAAAAAATGTTTAAGAAAAAAAAACACAACAACTAAACCAAATAAAAATTATATGATAAATTTTCTATCACAAATAGAATTGTAAGATTTCAAAATTAAATATCTTTAAAGACATTTTTACAACAGAAAATAATATTTTTCCCAAATATTTCCAAATTTGAAAAAAATCAACACTTTTTTTTTAACAAAAAAATATTAGTTGCGTTTTCTTAAAGAATACAATATTTGCATCAAACACTGAAAGATTTTTTTTCTATGAGAAAACAATATTAATTTTGTATATTGATGTATATATATGCATCTTAAAAGAAAATTATATGTACTTGTATCATAGTTTGGAGACCTTTCTGTTGAAAATGTGTCAGGGTTAAATCGTATACATATACATGCACAGTGCGTTAACTGGAGTGCGGGTATTAGTTACCCGCACTCCAGAGCATGCCCATTGATTGGCTCATTTTTGCTGGGGTTTACATATTATGACGGCAGAGAAAGGATAAGCGACAGAAATATCATATTCAGATGTTCGTTCATTGGTTCATTTTTGCCGGGGTTTCATATTGTGACAACAGGGAACGTGTTTTTATGTTTGACTATGATACAAAAGAGAAAGAACACCAAAACACTCGGTAATCTGATTAATACTCGGGGGCTACGCCCCCTTGTACAAATCAGATAACCTCGTGTTTCGGTGCTCTTTCTATTACATATAGGATAATATTGATATAGTTAATGATGTCAATTTTTATTAAAATTCATTGTAAAAGTCAATCAATAACTATATTGCAACACAGCTTTAATTGAAAATTAAAGCAGTGATTACAACAAAAAAATAATCCTCTTTATTTTTTAATTGTAAATAAAACTTTCAAGCCCCAAAAACATTGATACTTCAACATCTCTAGAGTTAATATTTTTACAAATAAAAATGTTCTTCAGTAGTCATGACTTTTGATGGACAAAAAAATTATGACTAAATTTTATAAATTTATCAAAACAAATAATTTGCTTAAGGAATAGTGTAACTTCAAACAAAATTTCATTTTCAATATATTTTCATAAAAAATGCAATTATTAATCAGTAAAATATTTTTGACTTGAAAGTTAATATGTGCTGACTGTAATGTGAAATCTACAGCATCAATGGAATTCAATGGGAAGTAAAATAGAAGAAAATAATCTTTATTTATTCCTACTTTTTTCTACATCATAGAACATATAATTTTTGATGACAGTGCTCTACATGGTTAAAAGCTAGAAACAGGGCTATTAAAATGAAAAGACATGATGATTTACACACCAGTCCAAAACAATTTTTTTTTAATGTTTTGCTCTGCCCTGAAAAATATATTTCAAACAGAAAAAACCAAAATGTGAAGGACTATGAAATTGTACCAGCTTGGGTCATTGCATTGTGTCTCTGGCATAATGTATATTAACAGTAACTTTCTCAATACATTATCGTGTACAAATTGATAATATTTTATCATTTAATCTTTTGATTCATTAAACAGCTTGTGTTGTTTTGTTTTCTTGAGTGAAAAACCCTTTTGAAGAATGCTAAATAACTATGATTAAAAAATAACTAAATAATAATGCACTCAAATTCAAATGAAATCAAAAGTCTTTTGTTTAGACAGAATTCTACAAAAGATAAAAATCTCAGAACAACATATGTTAAAGGAATCCAAATGATACATATTCAACCCAAAGAAAAACAATTCAAATGATCAATATGTATTATTATACTTATGAAAGGGAATCAAGGAATTTACAACAATAACATGTATAAAGTAATAAAAAATCTTTACAACTGAAGCAAAACAAAAGGTAATATTAGGCATAAGCTGTCGAAGTAATGTATGTCTATTGAAACAGAAGACAATATGAACCGACAAATAACATGATAGAAAAATGAATAAGGAATGTAAGATAAACAGTTGCTACATATACAGCACAAAATTGAAAGATTATCACAAATTCATTAGAAAATCTGTTACTGAATTCTCAATTTTTTTTCTGTTACAGTGAATAATGCCTGTCATATTCCTGTTTTATAGGGAATATTTGAAAATTTCTAAATAAAATAAGAAAAGCATTTGGGTTGGGTAGTTACATCTTTTACTGAATGCATCTGTGGCCCAGTATGGTGAGTAGTAATGGCTTTTGACTACAAACCAATTGCCCCTCACAACTGTGGGTTTGAGTCCAGCAAGAACTTTAAATTGTTTCATGTGAAGAAGCTTTCTAGTTAGCTTATGGAATGTTGATTGTGATATTGGTGGACATTGGTGGACGGTGGTGCCTCTCTGTATATTTTTTCAGGCACAAAAAGGCACCTGAGGTTTTTCCTCCAACAATTAAGGTTGAGAGTTGTCATATGACCATTACTAAGTGACATAAACTCAAAAGAAAATATCTACATATTATATTTACTAAAATAAATAGTCTCTATTTAGATAAAATGCTATTTAAAGTTTTGGGTGACATTCATTAATTAAGTATCAATAGTGGACTGTTTAATGTACTATTTATTTCATTTGTTGTTGTTGTTTTTTCTTCTTCATAAAATAGCATGCTCTTTCTATTTTCTTAATTTACTGAAAGATGATTCCAAATTGATGTATGAATACACTGAGAGATGTTTTAAGAATTTGGTGTAAATTGGGTGGAAACAACCCATGCCAAACTATTCCAAAGAAAGATGTCCATTGTTACAAAGCACAAGTCTGAATAAATAAAATAAAACGTTTTTCTCTCCGAAATACAGTAGCGTGTTTATCTCAGACACCATTTCGCCTGATTAAACAGCTGATGATAGGGTCAAATACACGCTCAAAATTGCACGCAGGCTTTAGACAAAACTTTTCTTTAAATGATTTAAGAGGTTTTCATTTAAATGTAACCAACTTGCATGACCACTGATAAACAGCTGATAAAAATACGAGAAAAGAAAACAAACATCAATGAATAAATATGTTTGTTTAATTGTTGTGGTCACAATTAGTAGAAACAATATAAATTTATACACCAAAATTCAATAGTAATACTATAGAAAAAATGAATCATTAATATATCTTCAAATTTCTCCAAAAAGCCTATTTTTAAAATGTTATAATGTCGAAAGGATGTTAAAAATAAAGTTGTCTTTGTGCTTGACTTGATATGACTGTACATGTATAAATGAAATAATTATATGAGTTAAAATCAGCTGAGACAAGGCCTTAAAGTTTTACAAGTACCAGTAGTATAGTATCAGACCAGATTTCACACCTGTTGGCTGCTTGACCTTAAGCCTGCTAGCGGCAACTTATTCTACACTTGCGACCATAGCAGACCAAGATTTGCCAGCACTTTTGCGTGGTCTGATCATCTCCACTGTTCACTTTTCAGATAACAGTTTGAACATATTTTAAAATTTTCCCTAAAAATATGAATGGCTTCGTCCAGATTGAAAAATGGAAAAGTCCATTTAAGACATTTAGCATGGCAAGGTTTAATTTTAATATTTTTATAACTGATTTCCCTGAAACAACTAATGAACCATTCCAAATTTAAAGTTGGACAAGTCCGTTTCACAAATTTCATAGAATAAAGGTTAATCAAATGAATATGAATTACAAGTATTATTGTTAAATTAATAATGACAAGTTAATATAGTGTAAGAAAAAAAAAATATCAGAAAGACAACAAAATATTAGAAGAGTAAGTTACTAAACTTTCATAAAAAAAATTATCAGTATTTAGTCTAGTAGTTTTAAAAATATAGTAATAAACACATTATTTATTTTTTAATGTTTGTGTACAGTTTTCATATTGTAAACATATCAAAACATGTGTTCTCTGAGAGAATATTATCAATATTTTATTTCCGGACATTTGCTCTCTAAATATCACAGTTTAAGTGCAAAAAGGTTACCAACATTAGACTGCCAGCAGTAAAAATCTACAAGACACTGAAATTTTACAAACTAAATGCATAAAATTTAAATCAACCATATCAACAATTCAATAAATGCTTTGATTATACATGCTATATGTTTTGGACCTGCCAATGGATATAAAACAAGAGGGCCATGATGGCCCTGAGGTCGCTCACCTGTATATAGCCCCCCCCCCCCCGGGCCAATTTTTACCCAAGGGTTTATATTTGTTTATTTGAACAGACTTGGTAGACTCCCATAAGAAGATGTTTCATGCTAAACATCTAAGTTCTAGCTCATTGGGTTTTTTAAAAGAAGATTTTTAAAGTTTTTACTATACACATATAGTAAAAAACAATGACACCCCTGGGGCAGGGCCAGTTTTGACCCCTGGCTTTTATTTGAACAAACTTTGTAGATATTTACTTAAAGATGTTTCATGCTTAATATCTAAACTCTAGCTATTTGGGTTTTTTCAAAGAAGATTTTTAAGTTTTTGCTATACACTTATAAGGAAAATCAATGACCCCCCCACCCTCCCCGGGCGGGGCCAGTTTTGACCCCAGGGCTTTTATTTGAACATACTTTGTAGACACCCATTAGAACATGTTTCATGCTAAATATCTTAGCTCTAGCTCTTTGAGTTCTTTAAAAGAAGATTTTTTAAGTTTTTACTATATGCATATAGGGAAAATCAATGACCCCCCGGGGCGGGGCCAATTTTGACCCCAGGGCTATTATTTGAACAAACTTGGTAGACACTCATTAGAAGATGTTTCATGCTAAATATCTTAGCTCTAGCTCTTTGGGTTCTTTAAAAGAAGATTTTTTAAGTTTTTACTATATGCATATAGGGAAAATCTATGACCCCCTTGGGCGGGGTCAATTTTGACCCCAGGGCTTTTATTTGAACAAACTTGGTAGACATTCACTAGAAGATGTTTCATGCCAAATATCTTAGCTCTAGCTCTTATGGTTCTTTAAAAGAAGATTTTTTAAGTTTTTACTATATGCATATAGGGAAAATCAATGACCCCCCGGGGCGGGCCAATTTTGACCCTAGGGCTTTTATTTGAACAAATTTGGTAGACACTCACTAGAAGATGTTTCATGCCAAATATCTTAGCTCTAGCTCTTTGGGTTCTTTAAAAGAAGATTTTTTAAGTTTTTACTATATGCATATAGGGCAAATCAATGACCCCCTGGGGCGGGGCCAATTTTGACCCCAGGGCTTTTATTTGAACAAACTTGGTAGACACTCACTAGAAGATGTTTCATGCCAAATATCTAAGCTCTACCTCTTAGGGTTGTTTAAAAGAAGATATTTAAAGATTTTTCTTTCGGTTGCCATGGCAACCAGAGTTCTGCATGGAATTAAATTCTTTGAACAATTTTTAAAGGTGACCACCAAAGGAACATTCCTGTGAAGTTTGGATGAAATTGGCTCAGTGGTTTATGAGGAGATGTCATTTAAAGCAAAAGTTTACGGACGGACGGACGACGGACGGACGACGGACGGACGGACGGACGGACGCCGGACGAAAAGCGATCACAAAAGCTCACCCTGTCACTCTGTGACAGGTGAGCTAAAAAAACAACAACACACTATTGCAAAACAACAACCAGTTAAAAAAATCAATATTCAAAAGTACATGTACAAAAAAAGGTCATAAAATTGTTTGAAACATACAGACTTTTCTACATCTTCCTGACCATCTGCCCTCTTAAAACAAAATCAATTAAATATGCCTGGGTTAGATGGTAGACACACTGTTACATGTGCAGTATCATATTTTTATCTACATAAAAAACCAGGTTAAAAGAGCCCTAATGTCACCAGTAACATCTTGTATTAATGTGAGTTTTTTATTATGCAGTGAAGCCAGTTTCAGTCAGTGTATCTCCTATCTATCTATAAAATACAAGATCAAATGACTGACCTGCAACACCTTATTTTTCTTACACAACAACAGCTGCATAATATTCTGCTTAAAGGAACTCCACTGAGGTCAAAATGCCTTAAACATAGTTTAAATTTCATACATAGATCAACTGGGACACTTAAAACAGAAAGATATGGAACAAATAATTAAAAATAAATTAATAATCATATTTTTGTGCTATTATTAGCCCAGTTTGATTGAACATAGCAACGCTGTTCCATTTTGGGTCATTTTTACAATTAGAATTATTCTGGAAAAACAGAGTGCGCAAATGACCTGAAATTTTGCACACAAGTTGTTGGTCTAGACTGCCATTAAATAGAACATAAGTCTTGAAAAATTATTTCCAGACCCCTTATGTAAAAAAAAACTCTCAGAAGAGTCCCTTTAAACTGAATGTCCACCCAAAATTTGTAGCATTTCACCCTATTGAAAAATACATACATTCACCCTACTAGATATCTTAGTATTTTTGTTTACCATTCTATTTTGAAAAGTCAAAAATAATTTAAAATCAATGCAAAAATAATTTAAATTCAATGCTTTTCAAAATTTGAAATTCTGTACTGGAAGACTGTGACATGTAACAAGGGAGGTAACTATGACAGTTTCAATCACTTGCTGTCGTAAAGTTAATATTCAAAGAAACACAGATGCAATACATAACACATGTAAGAAAACTTTAAAAGATCACATGGTTTTTTGAGTGTTTATCAAGTCTAATATGAATCAAGGAAAACTCCCCTTTGTCCAGAAATTCTACATGTTAGTTATTTTTCTACTAAAAAAAAAGTTACGACATTAAATAATGACAAATATGTCAAAACAATAGAATAAATTGTGTTAGTATTTAGTGAGTAAAATACAACATCATGATTTACAATAGAATTGTTGACATATGAAAAATGTCCATTTTTATGATTTTATATATCCATCTGTTATTTTAATACATAACTTATTTTCAAGGTAAAAGTTCCAAGTTCCATAATACATTATGTATGTTGTCACAATTTTGCAAACTTAATCAGGAGTTCGCTTGCTTTATATATACATGTATATATTTTTGTTCATTTCTTAATTTTGCATAGTCTCCAAAAAAACCCCAAAAAACAACCTTATATAAGCAATTTAAAATAAGCATTTAAAATTGTAAAAAAGATCTATGTCATATTACAATTTCTCTCGTGAATCATTATTTTTTCCTTTTCCTTAAAATGCTGATTGTTTTTTACACATTATTATGGTATTTATTATAATTTTGAATTTTATAACACTAGGGTCCCTGCATATATTCACTTAATTGGTAAATTGTATTGTCTTAATTTTAAAGATATATATATTTTTTCACTCGTTTTCATTCTTTTGAAGCGTTTGACTGGTTCACGTTATGTTGGACTGGATGTTGTAGTTGTGTAGACTGGTTTCAGATATTTAATAAATTGGAATTCCGTCAACAATTCTTATCCTTCCTTGAGCCCCTGCTTTACGACATGTAACCGTGACAACCTGAAAAATATGATTTTTTTTTATTTAAAAACTACGGTATAAGCTTTATGCTTAATGCCACTTATCATGGGTTCATGGCTGGATCCTACAACAAAATGTAGAACCATGGTGACAGACCATACATAAATTATATGTTTATGCTACTTAAATAGTAAAATATAAGTGGTCAACTGCAAATTCTTAAAATTCCCTTCAATATACCAACATTTCGACTAAACAGCCTTCTTTAGGGTTCATATATAAATAATGTCACATGACATCAATAGCTACGACGTCAAAACATAACAATAAGTTTGGTGTAATAATCATAGACAGGATCAATTTGATAAATGCTATTTAATAATTTCAACAGGTCCACTTTTCCTTTTTATGACAAAGTAATAAAAAAATCTTAATCCACATAGTTAATAATCAAGTATCTAATCTTATTAATCTATTCTTTAGTACGGCCAAACTTAAAGTCACTTATGTACTGACCTTAATAAATAAGTACAGTAATTACAAAGCATTCATGTATATATACACAAAGATGCTGTATAAGCAAAAGCTGACAAGTATAGAGCACAAGCGACTTGTAAAATACTGGATACAGTAAAAAGAGATAAAAATATATCTTGTATCATTATCAAGAAAAAACTTAATTGTTCAACTTTAAACACCTCCTAACATGCATGTCAATTAAATTGAAACAGAAAAATTCTATGCTGTAACATGAAAGACAATAATCTGAAATCTAAAAAAGTGAACAAGGATGATAAGAGAGAAATGTAACATTTTTAAACATTCTTTTTCTAAAATCAAAGAGGAAATAAATCTTCAAATAAATGCTAGATTTATTAACATTGTCACATGGACTGTAGGTCTGAACATTTGTTTGAAGTAAATACCTAAAACGTTTAAGGGTTTTAAAGAAGTTCAAGGGGGAGATAATTCTGGAAATATTGGTGTTAAGAGTTATGACCCATGTCACACAAAGAAAGCAGTTATAGTAAAAATAATTAAACAAAATTTTAATCAGAAATATGGAGAAAGACACTGACAACGACATCAGACTGAGTAGGACAGCACACAAAATACTTAGTATAGTTATGTTTTTAAGGAGGATTTATGTGCCTAAATGGTTGAGCTTTGGGAAAACTGCTCACAATTTTTTTTATATTTTCATGATATTAAAAGCAAAAAAAAATCACTGACTAATGTAATGTAAGTATTAGATTAATATCACTGAATATAGCCAGACATACCAAATACAATTCTCATTCAAATATTGCCTGATTTGAAAACACAGACAGATACAGTAAATATTATATGGTAATTTTCAAGTTTTACTGGTGGAGGAAAACCTTAGGTGCCACTTCATGCATTATTTCATTCAGGAACTTAGCATCTAAGTAGAAACCATCAACCTTCCATAAATTACTGGTAGTTTAACATGAAAGAATTGATAATCCATGGTAGGATTTGAACCTACAGTGGGTAGGGTGAATTTTACACAGTAATTCTAATACATTTGATATGATCAATGCACCCAAATTATAAATAAATTTAAAGATAATTATATCTAAATAGCTCCAGTATTAACAGACATAAGGTGACAAAATGGTTATGCAAATCTTAATTTGTACCTAGCGTAATTTTCAATTCACTGACTTGGACTATCAGATCAAATATCTCAATTATTCACATATCATTGAATATTAAAGAAGCTCCACTGTGGTCCAAAAGACTTAACTTAAAAAAAAGCATTTTTTATGGTAAATATGCAAAAAAAGTGATTTACATTGTAATTCTTTTTTACTGTGATTCTAAGCCCAAGTTTAGCATTTAAGTTTTTCTTATAAGGTCATTTTGCCGAATAAAAATAATTATTCTGGAAACATTTAGTCACTGAATGATCTAAAATTCTGCACCCAAGTGATTGTTCCTGACCTTCAATAAATGGTACAAAATCTGCAAAAAAATATATCCAGTCTCGTCATATATAAAAAAAACCCACCCTTTCTGTATAAACTTTGGTTTATAGATTTATATACCCTTTTTTAACCGTGGCCTGCCTTATGAGTCAGTACCCCTGATATTCATTTACTCTTCATGACATATCTTATACCAGACTTTCGGTAAAAAAAATGTTTCAATGTCAATTTTTTTCCGTCTGTAGACATAAATCATGCAGAAGTCAGCCACTGTGCAGAAGTCAATGCTTACGCCTGACCTCTCTTTAAAAGTGTCAAAATTACGCATATAAAATTACGGGTAAAATTTTTTGTTCAATTGCATTTTATAATAGCGTTGCGCATTTCATTCAATAACTTTTCCGCTATTATGTCCCAAGTGACTAATAAGAAATAAATTTCAAATAAAACGTAGATGACCAATTAGAAAGTTGTTTTTTTCTTTCAATGCATCATTATCTTGAATTAAATATGGCTACCCATTATAATCCATGGCCAAATTGATTATAACGAACAAACGATTTGAAACGGACCGCAATCATAAGTTATTATTCCGTCGCTAACAATCCATCATTCAATATAAAGAAAAATAATAATAATCTGTCCTAATTGTGTTAAGTGTTAAAAGAAATCTCGTGATTTAGTTTCACTACTGTGTGAAAAATGTGTGTTTCTATCACGCATACTAAGTATAAATCATAGCTCATTTAATGTATGCACATAAGTAAGATAGCCTTTATCAGATAAAAAAGTGAATAGTGATTAAAATCACGGAAAAAAAAACATGATGTCGATTTTTTAGTCACAAATTTTGAACAAACTGAATACGGGTCGTGGACCACCCGTATATCGCAATGTCTCGTGTAAATGCTGAAATATTATATTGAAAGTTTCTGACCCCTAAAATCCCTCACTTCTCCTCAAGGATAATGTTAACAAAGGGCTGACTTTTAATAGGGACATATTGAATTACTAAATTTTTGACTTAAAGATGCATTTCATTAAAAGATAGAATTAGTCACTGATAAAATATCGTGTGTGCTTTATAACTAATAAAGAAATATATTCAAAAATTGCACACTAAAAATTGTGTAACTGTTCATAAAAATGACTCCAATAATACACTGAAGCAGTATAAATTTAGAGATTTCACCCTCAACAACAGTTTGCTAATAAATTATGTCAACATTATTTTAATTTATTCAAAAAATTATTCATATAATAACTTTTTTTTTAAACTCTTTCAAACCCATATGTTATATAAATATAAATATATTACTCAATGTGCTAAATTATTTTTTTCTTTTTGGATTCCTGTTAATCTTGTGTCTTTATAAAATTTTGTATTAATAATATAATTTCTCTTACAATTTTTAAATTTTGTTACTATGGCAATCTATTTTGCAGACACATTTTAGCTACCAAGATTGTGAAAAGGGTTCAGGTTTATAATTTTTGTATTGTAAAAGTGTTTAGTATTGGTATGACGATGTATAATTGTACAAGTAAAAAATATAGTATCTATTCAGTGTTCTGTAATTGACAGTTAATATTCTTTATTTTTAACAAATATAATATATTAGAAATTTATTTCTCAAACTTTATATCATTATAATTGTTTAATTAATACCTGTACAATAAGATTTGATTAAACATCACAGAACAATTCAGTAAAAATATTTAAAAAGAAATAAAGAAAACATGAAACACCTGTGTTAAACTCATTTTCACTTCATTTCTTTTTTTCATATTAAAAAAGAATTAACAAGTGAGAAGACTGTGACTGATGGCTTACTGGTGTTACTGCATTATCACAGTCAGACATCTGGAATTCAGGTTTATATATATTGTGTTTTTGATGACAAGGATCAACATATAAATAATTTAAGGTATTATCTTAAAATAATTATTCTTTTCTCCCCATTTTTTTCACTATTGACTACGACTGTGTTATTTAAAATTGTTCTAACATTATTATTTCTAAACGTACGTTCCTGTATAGTAAGTTAAGACGTTCAATTTTGCCGTTTTGGGAGTTCTATATTTATGAAATTTCACAAATACATTTCTCTCCTAAAAGGATTTTGGTATTATGCACACTTTTAATTATTTTTATACAATATTAAGGTGTCAATGTCGTAAAAATTTGCTATGTTCTTGTTACATGTAGATTAAAATAAAATTAACTTAATATCAGTCCAATTGCTTGAGATGTCAAATTTTAAAATCAGCACAGAATTATTATATAATACTCTTGTGTTATAAATATATATACATGGTATATATGACACACATATTCATTACCAAAATTTTGTACTTTAATTAAAACAGATATATGTTTACATTAATATGGAGTACATGTACAAATTAAAACTCATTGAAGGGAACATTTGCTGGAGAAAAGTGTGCTACTAACCCATCACCTGTTCAATATTTTTACTGCCAGACATCATGTATATTAACTTATTTCTATTAAAGTTAATACCCAGAATAGTTTTTTTATAAGTGAAAATATAAATATAAGCCCTGTTAATTTAACTTTTGCAACTTTTTTAAACTTAATTAACATCAAAAGTCATAGACTAAAATAAAAATTACAAAAAAATGGTAATAAAAGAAATTATCAGAAATAATTAAAAAAAAAACAACAAATTATTAATTTCTTGTTAACAAATGATATAGTATCTTTTATGATTTTTTTCTAGTGATTTTATTCTTTATACATGTTCAAGTCTATAATTTGATACACTACTTGATATTAATTTGAAAAGTCATTCTTAAAGTATTATAACTGTTTTATAATAAACATTAGCTACTGTTTCAAATGACACTGGAAAAAAATGTGAATCCAATTCCATTGTTCTGATAACAGGTTAAATAAAATATCGGATGAAATATATACTTATATCTCTTAATGATAGTTAGATAAGTATGATATACACTACTATTACAAATTTGATATTGTTTTTTTCTACGCACTTTGAAATGCATTTATAAAACTTAGCAGTCAGAAATCAAATAGAATAAACAGTCTGCCGAGATCAAGAC